TTTTAGTAAGGCGAGAACTGGTGGACAATTTCATTGCCATAATTACATTTGATTCTTGCCTCAGAAGCGGTAAAGGTTGCTATCTTCATGCAGGCTTTGCAAACGTGATTTTGCACCTAAACTAACTCATTCGATGAAGCGTTGGGCGTAATATGATGTGGAGCACACTTTTTGTGCCGCGAAGGTAGAACGGTGTGCTGGGATAAAGCTTCAGAAGCGTAGCAGAAGCAATGACTATCAGCCATGCTGAGGAGGAAGAGATCAGTTGACTGCTTAGCGACACCGTGGTTCCGCGGATGTGTAAACTGTGGTATTACAAAGCATTTGCACCCCACACACCCTGTTTTTCTCGACTGAGAGGTACAAAGGAACGAGCTCCCACGCAAGAACATCCAACGAACACCTCGCGGTCAAACGTCGAGTCCCGGTATTTATACTTTCTGATCAACAATGAAGCGATCAATTGAACAAGACAACATGAAAGAGCGTTCGTTGCCTAAACGGCAAGGAATGCCTACCGAACTTTTTGAGGTTTCCTTCATTCTAAACCAAAACGGAGACAAGAGGTTCTACATGGAACGTTTCCTTTGTTGGCGTCGTGTTACTAACCGTGATGACCCGACCCAGCCCATAGCAGCTAGACTCTTTGCGGGCATTGTTCGCTACGAGAACGAGAACAAATTGGACGATCTGCTTCGTGAGTCGGCGCTGGCAGGACTTCCAGTCACGCCCGAGTATAACCAAGCTCTGGTCGTCGTAGTGGTGCCCCAAGCAACACTAAAAGCGATCTTCGTAGCTACGGACCACGTCAGTGGCATTAGACGCTTAGGCCTAACGAGGTTCCCACGAATCGATAGCCGCGCCACCGAACTCTGTAGAAGCGCGTATGGTTTAAATGCTGCTTTCCACGACGACGATTGGTCGACCCTCGTGAGCGACAATCGCCTCAACCACCCAACAACGCTCTCCACGAGAGTCTATAGCGGTGCTGGGGTTGAATGTGAGAACGATTGATCGACTTTGGAGGTAGAAGAGCGCTCATCGCGGGCAATTTTAGGCATTGTAGCAGCGTAACTCGACGCTTGTATATCGCTGCGAGAGCCTTTCGGACATTGTTGCAGCGCAAAACGTGAAACTCGAGATGGTTTCGCCCAATGTTCGGTTTTGGAGCCCGATTTGAACTACGATTTCAACAGGTTCTATTATCCGGAAGGATGGCTCGCGAACACCTGTTGCGCTTTATTGAAGAGGCAGTTTCTGTTCTCGGATATTCCGTGGAGAGTACCATTCTCGCCTTCAAGCGTTGGAATCAGTAAAAGAGCAATTCTTCGATGTCCTTTAACGCTTGCGCGTCGAGAAGAATCTCCAGGGTGAAGAGTTGGAAGCTCTTTGTGTATAAATGAAGAAAGTTTATCAACAGCTCGATCATTGACCAAAGATAGAGTAGGTTCGGCAGATCTACTCGGAAGATACGGCTTTAGCTTATCTACATGAAATGTGCGATGTAGGCGTATGCGTGTAGGGATTGCTAATGTATACGCATCACCATCGCATTTCAACACCTTGAACGGTTCAACAAATCTTGGTAAAAGCCTTTTGCTTCCCAAGTGAGCCACTGCATGATCAGGCAGATTTGTCCTGCTAAGAAGTACAAGATCATTTAGCTAATCTCCATTCTTGTTCTTCCTTCTCTGCTTGTTCTTTTTGCAGATTTCGAGCTTTAGCAATTGCGTCTCGAGCAAACCAAACAACGGCTTGTCTCTTCGCAATAATGTCATCGACGAGGGTGTACGGAGTTTGAATTTCAGAAGTTTGAACGTCAACGTGAAAACTATCCAGTAGAAGAGACTACCCACTTCTAAAGAGAGAGATACGTCGGTCTCGTCACCAGTACAGATCCCCATGTAGTAACCAGCATCTTGCATCTCACAAATTATTTGTGAATTCATACAAGAAATCACGTATGCATTTGGAATTACTATACTGTAATCTTCATTTATAAATCCCCTCAATGCATACAGAAGGTATATAAATATACCTTCATGTAATGAGCCCATTTCAGAAAAGCACGAGTCACGGATCGATTGGAAGTCGAATCAGGTAGATTCCACGCACTTTTTTTCCTGAAGCATTGATGAGTCCTGGCCGATTTCATCAGAAGCGCTTTTGGTGCGGGCACGAAATTGTGGTAGCTTCTGTGTCGGACCCGAGATTTTCAAAATGGGTTGCAATGATTTTGCCTGGTCCCAATGTGCAAAATAAGTTAAATGAAGCCACAATTCCGGTAACGTTGATTGCTAAAAACGATGTGCTGCAGAACAGCATGATCGGTTGCACTTTGTTCGATTATTAACGTCGGTGAGAGCCAGCGATTTTTTTCCACTACTGAAAGTATCCCTAGCGGGACGCCCCGGAAGGGTCCAATCATATCCTAGCGACGTTCCATAATCTCGTGTCGCAGCTGACCAGGCTACAGCATGTGATCCACAATCAATTATGCCGCTCTGTTACCCCATAGTAGTAAGGAGTACGGTAAGTCGGATAAGCGAGCCAAATTGAACACACTCGAGCAGGGTCCAAGTATGTGCGTTTGAATATATACTTTCCAACATATACACGTGTAGATTTGGCGGCGGTACGTACACTCGTCAAATGATGATGTAATACATACAGCGTATGGGGAATACGTAACATGAGTTGCGCTACTAAAAACTTTGACATTAGGAAGTTTGAGACACAGATGTCGCTTTACCAAAGCGCGCAGCCGCACCCCTGCACCGATATGCTTTATTCCAAGGCTCGCTGTATTACAAAACTGACGCGCACGACACTCAGCATGTAGTGGTGCCTCACGATGAGAGCCTGAGTCCAGATTAAAACTATACGAGGCGTATCATACCCCCCACTTCAGAAGGAAAGGACCTACTGCTCGAAAAGTGATATGTATGGCGGCTCAAAATGTGTAAGGGTAAATGAGTCAGCGAGTTTCTTTTCTCGTTGTATGCGGCGGCACATTTGGCCAGCCTGCCGGTCCTGGCAGAGTGCCGTCTGTTCATAAGTATGGACGTGTTTTTTCTCAGAAGACGCATCCTATAACACCGGCATCGTGGTATTTGTGGAGCATCTGAGTGAATGGGTTCCTTTCGCTGCTGCCAGCAATGATTCAACCAAGCCGTACCCAAAATATTTCGCCATAATGGATTATCATCGAATCGACAGGTTACTTCTTGCTTGACAACGAAGTTTTGGCAAACAGTGTTAAATTTCTCGTCACCATATTGGATATGTAAGCTGCCGACCGTATACAGCCACATGGTCAGATGAAATTCGTGAATCGCGTTGCGGAAAGTATTCTCAAAGGCTCTTGCGCGGATATAAGAACAAGTTGCTTCTACTCATAGAATTTTTGCTAAATAACAGAGTACATACCTCTTCATGCTTGACCCCATTTTACATAAATGGATTGGTAAAAATCCGGATGATTTTGCCAAAACCACGAACCTGCTTAGGTTTCAGTGGTGAAACGGCTGTCAACCTCGGTAAACCTGCTGATTTTAGCTTGGCTACACTTCGTTGCAAAATCAGTGAGTTTATTTTAATGAGATAAAACGTCATGCGCAAAGTGCGCGATGCTATGGCTAAGAGCCGTATAAATAAAAGCAACGTCCAAGTGCCAGAGTTAGGCAAAACTCACACCAATATGTTGTCAGGCGAAATGCACTCTACCTTTCGAAACATGCAGTATCTGCGGTCTACAAGACTAACTTTCAACCGTGTTACAGCGGACCACTCACGGTCGTAGCGACAACAGGGATTCAGTCGTACGCTGGACACCCAATGAGAATGCAAAACGTTTTGTGCTATATATTCCTTTTCGGCCTGTGCCTACATTTGTAGTGAGTGGTTTCTTCGGTTGACCCAGCCCTACTACCCTGTTCTACATGGGCTGGTTGAAGCGTTACGATGGTCGTCCTACAAACCGGTCAGACGAGAAGAGCTCTGCTGTAGACGTAGCGACGTGTATACCATTTCCTGTAGCTGATTACTCTCTGCATGTAACCATCGTTGCACTTATGAATCGCGGGAGATACCTCAACTTAGGCAGTGTGATGGTGGAGCTCAGAAAGTTTTTCCGAAATGTGGCTCACCTTGACCCCACCGTGCGCTGCAACTCTTGAAGAGAATCGACGTTTCACCACAACCAAGAGAGATCACGAAAGCTTTCCGCCTGCGCTGCTTGAAAAAGTAAAGGTTCGGTGGACCGTCTGTGTACAAGTACCATGGCGAAGTGAAAGGAATATCCTCAGATAGAAATTTAGTGGTCCAATAAGGCAAGAGTGCCCCCCCGGCTCTGTTGCCGCTTACGACTTAGCGCACACTTGGCCTTTATCAACCTTAAAAAACAGAGTCGCCCGTCACAGCGCTTATCACTATTGAGAAACAATCGACCGTGCCGTAAACAGCCATCTTGGTCGGTAGCTATAAAAGCTGTCTGATGGAGTCGAGCGGCTTATGAAGATCAGGAATTTGAGGTCATCAGCTACCACCTCGACGTCTCCGTCGTGATTTGTACTATGCGAGTCAAGCATGAGACGACACAAGGCAGACGTCTTTTTCGCTGATCATTCTTATGAAGCCTTTAGATGGGTGTGACGGTGGTCTTTCTGAACCCATTTCACGAAATGAGCCTGATGCGCCTCGATAATTTTCGCTTACTTCGAGAATTCAAGGTAAATTTCTCATGGATCGTATGCTACTCTAAGCGTCAAGGATAATCCTGGCGAGTAATCAGCTGAGGTTTGAGAAACACAGGATGACTTTCTTGCACTCGACTCACTCTTTGTGTGAGCGGAAAGCCCGCACGCGTAGGCGCGTAAGGGCTACGTTCCATCACAGCTGATGGTAAAAAACCGTTATAAGCGTGATGATTTGGGCAAAAGTCGGCGTGCCTAGGCTGAGCGCAGTGACCACCCTTTCTTAGGGGGATGGCTAGGCCGTGTATTGCCGCTGAGTGCGGAGTTGGTAGGTCATATAGTGACTGGGATAAGTCTCATCCGAGGACACCTCATTATCTTCACCGATAATTCTTTAGTGCAGCACTCGCGAAAATCACACCTTTTGTTTAGCGATTTGATTCGGTGCACAGGAGATCATCCGGCGCAAGTAAGCTCTGAAGAGCAGACACGGTAAAGTTTAGTGAATGGAGTGTACTTCCAGGCGCAGTTGCTGCCCGTGGAGCGGTCATTATTGCCCAGTGTTTGAAAGCTACGAAGCTTGTATGAACCCCGATGTAATCCACATCTTAGTGGGGAACGTGTAAGTGGGCAAGCACTGTATTCTTTAATGTGGTCAATTGTATTTACAATACATTGGTGTAATTGTGAATATTCGTAATTATCAGATTATCCACGTCCGAAAAAAATGACACTTCTGCTATCAGAGGCATTTAAATGTATATATTTAGTATGTGTTTCAGTATAATTTAGCCTGAAAACACGACTGTTGACATAGCAGAGCAAACTTAAACTCTTAATTACGATGGAGGCTTTCCTTGTAGAAGCACAATAGTGTGCGTTTACTTTATTGGACTCTAGAAGTCAAACTTTTTCCTGCGCAAAATCCACGGCATCTTTGTCGCAGTTGGCCACCAGTACACGTAATGTACAGAATAATGTACCATGCCGTATGTCTTTTCTCTACTGAGTTGGCCACCCATGAGGACATCAATGTGCCCTTACCATGCGCAGATGATGGTTTTGTGCGAAGGGCGGAACCGCAAGCTGTTTTGAAACTATTTACCTAGTTTGCTATATTAGGATCAATCAATACAAGGTATACTCGTCTTTCTGTATGCAGTCATCTTTATTGCTCGATGTGCCCAGGTGATACACAGACCTATCCCTCACAGAATTCCATCATCTTCATAGGTGCAGACAGATACTCCTGTTTTTATGCGGAATGTGAACTTCGTGCCATTCTCTAAAATTGTACTGTACGACAGATTACACAATATTACGGTACATACCAAATTACAGTTAGCAGATATTCGGGGCGGAGGACATATCACAAACCGATACATTCGCCTCCACATGTGCAGCTGTCTGTTAAATAGATAATACTCATTGTGCATTTTGTCTGCCTTATAATACTCATCGAGCACTTTGCCTGCACAACCATACCACAATGACATGTTTACTTATTGCATGAAAAAGAAGTGAGGAGGAATTCATAAGTATATATTTGTCTTGCATACAGTAAATAACGCTGGAAAGCTTTATGGTTGGTTATCCACTCTTTCTTCGATAGGGATCTTGTATATTCTTCTACTCCAACATGCGGTAGCCTCCAAATCTTGCCTTGTTGTAGTATAGGGCTCCGGCTCAATTTTGGCGAACATCCAATTGTAGGGTAATATCATATGGCACGATTTAAATCTCTTAAAATTGTAGGATTCATGTACAAAAATGTCCTATTTTAAAAGAGAAATTACTAAGCTAGTTAGTCAATTCTTACTCAGCGGTTATGATGACAATATAAATATCGAGACTTTTGTATAGCCAGGTTGTTTACAGTTATAGGCGAGTTTACTAATCAGGTCAGATCTCCACTTAAATCATCTTTGGCGTAATACAATACCAATTACACACAAGATTACGTCATATCCACTCTCTGTTGATAGTTTATACCATTTTGCTACCTGGCAAACATTGAATTTCACATCTAAAATCCTGTATGAAGACGAAATCTCTTGATGTATTGCGTACTCAGAACGTTTTCCATCGTTATTCAAGGAGAAGCTCAGCTGAAACAAATACAAAAGAATGATACTTTAAGTGTTCGAGTACGACTAGCATGCTTTTTACCGAGGGTCATCTGTGCCCTGTTGACTCACAGATCCTTGTCCGTTTTCTTCATCGGGAGTTGTGAAATCGTTAAGAGGTCCCTTCCTTATCAATTGTGTCATGCACGAACAATCGTTGCCTTGAAGAAGTTTATGGCTCATGTTTGATAAGAGGAATGTTCGAGATGACCCAGCAAGCTTTTACCATTATATTCTACAATTGAGCAGCCATCCTTTAAAGAAAGCGTAATAGCTTTGATATACGACCATAATGATGTATTAATTGACAAGGAAGCCGCTAAAACGGGGCCCTACTTTATGCATAGTGCTCACAATGCGAATACCTTTGAGGTACGTTGCGTGTGGAAGTTGTGGCCAACGATACTGTTTGTCCTCATACGATGAGAAATCCTAGAGGATAAGCTAGTTTAGTAGCCTTATTTAGATCTCCTCCCAACTGATGTTGCCTCAACTCTGTGAATTCCTTCCTATTTCCTGCTAGTCGCTCGATCCGCTGCGATCAAACGGCATCTTGTTCTCTGCAGCTTTCACCGGTGACCTTCGCTCGCTTACCTTCGGTTTCTACGGTAACAAAGGACATCATATTAGAATTATCGTATATGTATCAACTACTGTACAAAAAGAATCGAGTAGATTGTTAGATTTGAAAAACGTACAGAGCGCATGTAGAAAATCGTAGTAGTCCCATCCATAAGAAAATAAATTTATCTGGTGATAAAAGCAGCGCAGTAGACAGTCGAACACCAAAGATGCCAAAAGCGCAGGTCACGCAGACGACAGCGACACTAATGAGCTCGATTCACACTTCCAGTTTGCAATTTGTACCCTGGCCCGGAGCTTCCATTTTTTTATCATCTTTGTCTCAAACTTATGCTCAGGCTCAAATTTTCACGCTGGTACCTGCTCGTTGCAGCTTTTTTGGTGGAATTCTGTCTTGGTTCAATTTACGCGTGGTCGGTGCTTAATCAACCCATCGACTTGGCTTTCTACGGCGATGCCCAAAAGGGCCGTGCAGTGAACGCATTTTATATTAGCATGGGTGTTTTAGGAACGGCAACAGCAGCTTTGGGACCCTTAGTTGAGCGCAAGGGACCCCGTTGGTCTGTGTCCATTGGGTCGACATTGTTCTTAGTAGGTCACCTTGTCACGGCTCTTGGAGTCTACTTTGCGTCCATAGCTTTGGTTTATATTGGTTACGGTGTAATAACCGGGCTCGGTATTGGTTTGTGCACTATATCACCTGTTTCGGCACTTCAAAAGTGGTTTCCCGACTATCGAGGCACTGCCGCCGGATTCGCTACTGCTGGTGCCGGTGCTGGATCTGTCATGTGGAGTAAAGTGTTTTTACCCACCATTGATTCTGTCGGCCTAGGCTGGATGTTTGTTCTGATCGGCTCTATCATAAGCGCTACAATGTTCGCTACACTCGTAGTCCTTCGAGACCCACCACGTGACTACACGGTAAACGGTCGCGATATTCATGGTAACCGTATTGAAGAAAGAGAGGCGTTGGAGGATCAGGGAGACGATATCTATACGATGTATCATACACCCAAGAGTGGAGACCAGTCGGAAGCTGCTGAATTCGGCTATACTCCTATTGAGTCAATGACGCTCAAGGAGGCCATTCTCTCCACCGACTACATCTTCATGTATTTCACATTTTTCGCCAACCAACTTTTCGGTATCATCGTGGTGTCTCGCTTGTCTAACATGTGCACTGACATTTTTAAGAAGAGCGCAAGTACAGCTTCCGACATGGTTTCTATTAACAGTGCATTTAACTGCTGTGGTCGTCTTGCATTCTCAGTCATTTCGGACTTACTCGTTCTAATTTTCAGCGTCGAAAAGACATACGCACGCAAGATGGTGTATTTCTTCACCCTTGGTGCACAGATTATTTTGATAGGAATGTTACCCACAGTCATTCGCCAAGAAAGTTTCACATCGTTCGTCATCGAGATTTTCGTGCTTACAAGCTGCTTTGGTGGTGGCCTTGGCACGATCCCAGCGCTTATTGCCGACATGTATGGACCATACAATGTCGGACCACTGCACGGTATAATCATTACGTCCGTATCATTTGCTGCAGTTGTGGGCGGCATCACCTTCAACAAAGCATACAATGGCAAGATTGCCGACGGAATGAGCGTCGACGAGGCTTACATCGATAACTTTCAGGTCATTCTCGTTATCGTGTGCATTGGATTCGTGATGCTTTTTTTCGTGCGCACAGATGTGAAAGACCGCTTTGAGCCAGGCTATCACTACTCGTTGTGCGGTAAGCGTATTATCAGTATCGCGCCAAGGGAATATAAAGCCAGTGGACACACTGGAACGGTCCAATCGGACTCAACTTGTGAAATCTCCGAAAATATATGAAATTGCTTTATCCAGCTTCCAACTTATGTAAAAATGATCCTCATAGTGTAGGAGAAAATGTGGCATGGCTGCATATCGAATTTAACAGCCACATTTTTCTAACTCCTTAGAAATGTGGCTGTAAAGCCACGAACTTTATATAAAGCAAATAATCATTCTACGCAGTGAAATTATGTGAATGATGATCCATCCACAAAAAGGTTCACTAGTATAATATCCGAAGCCGCCATATCACAAAGACTGCAATATACTTCATTCTGGTACAATTCTGGAGTTCGTGAAGGTAATGCCACCTTTGTAATTTTTGCAGCGAAGGCAGTCATTGGACACCGTCTGCTTTGGTCTTAAAAGGCATGGACCGAGTCTGAAGGCAGCGCTGTGATAAACTCCTCTAATGTGGCTGGTATCGCGAACGAATAACAAGACTGATTCGCTGCTCGTCAGGGCGCGGCTTTCCGAGAAAGTCAAGAAAGTCATGACAGTATGGGTGCGAGGCTGCTATTGGCAAAGTCGGTAACGACAGTTACTAACGATGCTGTTTTTAATGTTGACGATTTATGTGGTACTCTCGATGAGATTGAGATTAAACTTAACGGGTACATGGCTACGGCGGAACTCCCACACAAAACGTCGGCAATGCCTAGTGTAACGGGGTTTAACGTGCCCTGGTATGAAGGTTGTAGGTCACACAAGATGGTGTGACTACACAATGTTTGGTTAAACAACAAGTCAATACGTGGCTGGAACAGCCAGAAGTTATGCATATAATAAGGATTTACTATACAGTTAACAAAATCTCTAGATTTAGATATAGGCGGCTTTGCCGCAAATAAAACCGAATATAGCATAAATGTAAACGGAAGAGTTTATTAGCCTTGATGTAAGGTTGTAGTAACTCTTGGAGTAAGTGGATCGCGATCCGCTACACTCGTTCTTGTTCTAAGATTAGAACGAAGGTCACCAAGCTTTCTTTAAGCGAAAGAGCTACGACAGCCCCGCCGCACTCAATAACACTCATCGACAATCTATACCTGAGTCGTTACGACTGACCCTCTTTAAGGATGAAGCAGTTCCCCAGGGCATGGAGGACGGGCTTAAAAAAATAATGTCTCTGCATGACCTTGAGGCCGTGCAACACTCGCTTCGCAAGGACCTGAAGCGATCAACGCGCGCCTAGAGACGTTTTTAAGCAATAAAAATGCACTGCTAGAGCATCTGGAGCAGAAGATGTCGGCGTCAACGGCGTCCATGACGACACCGTCGACACTCCTCTAGCCCAAGCCGCTCATGGTTAGTTTTAAAACCTTTGAGGGCAAGGATGGAGAGAGTTTATGCTTTGGGTGAGTGAGAGCGAGGCGGTCATGGCGTCCGCCATGCTCCAGACCGAGCAACAGCGCGTAGCGCTAGCTACCTTCAAGCTCGTTGGTCGAGCGCGAGAATGGGCACTGACGTTCGGCACTTCAGTCGAAGCGGCGTTCCATCCTGAATGGAGCTAAAGCTGCAGCTTACCCGAGTGTTCTCACCGCCTAACCAGGCCATGTCGCGTGCGATGATTGGCCTGTAAGATGAGCCATTTTGCTTAAACGTGCGACAAAAACCACCACACCTGTGTTGCCCGCCGAGTCCTTCGGCAGGCCAAACACAAAGTCCATACTCATGATCTGCTAACACCCGGAGGGCACCGGTAAGCTGACCAGCGGCACCGCCGCATTCGAAGAGGGTTTTACTCTTTGACATGTCTCGTATATACGCACATATGTGTCCGTCCATTTGTACAGCTTGGGCCACCAGTAGTGGCAACTCACAGAGCTGTACGTCTTCTCACGACCAAGATGACAAGTAAATGGGGTGTCGTGGGCCTTAAAAAGGATACGGTACTTTGAATTCTAATCGTGAGGAACCATAATTTGTGGCGTATACGCCAAATGGTGCTATACAGCAACCCCTGATTCAACGAATATCGGTGTAACCGCGCGCGCGATCGCGACGTCAACTTCTTGTCCGAGTTTCCAAACTTCTTGCTCTCGCGAGCCCATAGCAGCGCTACGCATATATAAATCACCCGCGGATGCGGCGAGGATCAAACCCGTCACTGGCGACGTCACCGTCGTGACACGATCAAGCTCATAATACGTCTGCGTGACAACACATCAGCCAAAGCATTTCCCCTCGAAGTTATATTCTGCGAAGAAGGAGAGCCACCTGGCCATCCTCTGCAAGAGGTGAGGCGACTGAGTTGCAATGCGTAGTGACGCATGATCACAAACGGCTTCGGGGTCAGCAGGTAGACCCTAAACTTGACAAGTGCATACTTCATCGCAAGTAATTTCTTGTCGTGGACTGGGTAGTTCTTCTTCGCAGCCTCCAGCTGGCGAGATTCTAACGCGATCACCCGATCTCGCCCTTCGGCGTCTGTTTGCAGCAGTGCACAGCCGATGG